AATAACTCCCTTCTCTTACCTTTCGCGCTCAATAACCCATAACTTTCTCCCACTCTTGCCTTCCTCCATCCTGTTCCTTTACCCCCAACAACCCACCGTCACTTGGCCACGCTCTCAATCGTTTTTAAGCTATCCATGAAACAAACTTCTAAAGATAGAAAAACGTAAACTCTTTTCTATACTCGTTAGAAACGAACATGCGCGTTAAAGCGTAAGCGTGAGCGCGTGCCCGCGCGCTCGCGCTCGTATTTCCAATGAATTGTATTAATCGTCAAATTGGAGGAGGCTTAATTAAACTCAATAACTTAACTATTAAATAATCGTTGTGAATTAAGGCCATTCGTGCCATACTGGGTGCTGTTCTCGATATATATATATATATATATATATATATATATATATATATGTATATATATATATAGTAGATGATCACGATGCATGTAGAACTACGATGTGTATACTACCTAAATGTGTATGATGCGTATGATGAGTGTGTGTATGGGAGAGAAAAAGAGAGAGAGAAAGAGAGAGATAGTAAGTTTCTCTGTATGTTTATGTATGTAGAATATATGTGTGTATGTGTATATGTATACGTGAGAGTTATTATGTACCGAGTAACGTTCGTTCTTCTTGGTTCTTCTCCTCGGAAAAAAACTTCTTCCGGAAAAAAACGTGCACGTAAATTCACACTTTAGAAAAGTCTCAACTCGAGGAGAAATTGTTTTCTTTCTTTTTTTTCTCTTTCTTTCTTTCTTTCTTTCTTTCTTTCTTTCTTTATTTATTTATTTATTTCTTTCTTTCTTTCTTTCTTTTCTTTTTCTTTGATTACTTCTTATTTTTATCTTTTTTTTTCTTCTTAATCTTATTTTTTATTTCTTTTTTCTTTTTTGTTTCTTTTCTCCTTCCTTTTTTCTTTTTTTTATTTTTGTAATATTCGTCTTGACAAAATTAACGAAAGGACTGGGTGATGAATGCTTTTTAATATTTAAACTGTGTCCTCTTTCCAATATTAATCTTGATTATAAACTCGTTTATATTAAAATTAAGCGAGTAATTCGAATAAATGTTGAGTAGTGAGTGTGAGAGAGTGAGAGAGTGAGAGAGAAAGAAATTCTAGACTACTTCGAATTTCTGTAAGCAATGATTGTAATAATGATGATACAATAATTAAACAGCGACGATAGCCCAATTAGTATTTAACCTAAAGTAAATAACAATTATTATTATTAATTATTATTATTATTATTATTATTATTATTATTATTATTATTATTATTATTATTATTATTATTATTATTATTATTATTATTATTATTATTATTATTATTATTATTATTAATATTATTATTATTATTATTATTATTATTATTATTATTATTATTATTATTATTATTATTATTATTATTATTATTATTATTATTATTATTATTATTATTATATTATTATATTATTATTATTATTATTATTATTATTATTATTATTATTATTATTATTATTATTATTATTATTATTATTATTATTATTATTATTATTATTATTATTATTATTATTATTATTATTATTATTATTATTATTATTATTATTATTATTATTATTATTATTATTATTATTATTATTATTATTATTATTATTATTATTATTATTATTATTATTATTATTATTATTATTATTATTATTATTATTATTATTATTATTATTATTATTATTATTATTATTATTATTATTATTATTATTATTATTATTATTATTATTATTATTATTATTATTATTATTATTATTATTATTATTATTATTATTATTATTATTATTATTATTATTATTATTATTATTATTATTATTATTATTATTATTATTATTATTATTATTATTATTATTATTATTATTATTATTATTATTATTATTATTATTATTATTATTATTATTATTATTATTATTATTATTATTATTATTATTATTATTATTATTATTATTATTATTATTATTATTATTATTATTATTATTATTATTATTATTATTATTATTATTATTATTATTATTATTATTATTATTATTATTATTATTATTATTATTATTATTATTATTATTATTATTATTATTATTATTATTATTATTATTATTATTATTATTATTATTATTATTATTATTATTATTATTATTATTATTATTATTATTATTATTATTATTATTATTATTATTATTATTATTATTATTATTATTATTATTATTATTATTATTATTATTATTATTATTATTATTATTATTATTATTATTATTATTATTATTATTATTATTATTATTATTATTATTATTATTATTATTATTATTATTATTATTATTATTATTATTATTATTATTATTATTATTATTATTATTATTATTATTATTATTATTATTATTATTATTATTATTATTATTATTATTATTATTATTATTATTATTATTATTATTATTATTATTATTATTATTATTATTATTATTATTATTATTATTATTATTATTATTATTATTATTATTATTATTATTATTATTATTATTATTATTATTATTATTATTATTATTATTATTATTATTATTATTATTATTATTATTATTATTATTATTATTATTATTATTATTATTATTATTATTATTATTATTATTATTATTATTATTATTATTATTATTATTATTATTATTATTATTATTATTATTATTATTATTATTATTATTATTATTATTATTATTATTATTATTATTATTATTATTATTATTATTATTATTATTATTATTATTATTATTATTATTATTATTATTATTATTATTATTATTATTATTATTATTATTATTATTATTATTATTATTATTATTATTATTATTATTATTATTATTATTATTATTATTATTATTATTATTATTATTATTATTATTATTATTATTATTATTATTATTATTATTATTATTATTATTATTATTATTATTATTATTATTATTATTATTATTATTATTATTATTATTATTATTATTATTATTATTATTATTATTATTATTATTATTATTATTATTATTATTATTATTATTATTATTATTATTATTATTATTATTATTATTATTATTATTATTATTATTATTATTATTATTATTATTATTATTATTATTATTATTATTATTATTATTATTATTATTATTATTATTATTATTATTATTATTATTATTATTATTATTATTATTATTATTATTATTATTATTATTATTATTATTATTATTATTATTATTATTATTATTATTATTATTATTATTATTATTATTATTATTATTATTATTATTATTATTATTATTATTATTATTATTATTATTATTATTATTATTATTATTATTATTATTATTATTATTATTATTATTATTATATTATATTATTATTATTATTATTATTATTATTATTATTATTATTATTATTATTATTATTAATACGTTTCCTCTCTATTTTCTTTTCTTTTCTTTTCTTTTTAACGCTAAACCTACCGACACTTCATGTATACCTAATTCCTAGCGCGTCCGGTCAAATGATCGATCTTAAAACATCTTATATTTCTTAATTTAGAATGATAATAATAGTCAATTTGATACTGAAAAAATATAGTTTCTCTTATTTAAAAGTAAATAATTTACATTTTATTCGTCGTAAGTAGTAAGCTGCGCAGACAAATGTTTATGAAAAAGAACGGTAACGTGAGTACGGATAGATTGATTTAAACATTTTCCATTTGTAATGACTTTATAGTTTCAAAATTGACTCTTCGTGATAATATTATTATAAAAATATATAAATCTTTCAATCAAATGATCGGTTGTAATAGGTATAATAGACTATAAGTTTTTCATAGAAAACGAATAATAAAGAAAAGAAGTGAATATTGAAAAATATATTGTAACGTATATTATAGAAAAAGTAGTGAAGTTTAAAGACGGTGTAATTAAGTTGTACATAGGAAATTCTAATCGAAATTTTAAATTCTAATTGGTCATTTGACCGATCCGTGGTAAGTTTAGTGTTAAACGATTGAGCTTGTTTTGTTACAAATTGGAACGCATCTTTGTAACGATTGTATAAACGACGACAATACAATCGATACGTTATATAATAATTAACAGGTTATATAATAATTCATTTAACCTTTGAACTACATACCTTGTACCTTTCTTAAGATTCTTCACTTTACAGGAAATCTACAATGTTGAAGGTATAAGAGAGAGAGAGAGAGGGGAGAGAGAGAGAGAGAGAGAGAGAGAGAGAGAGAGAGAGAGAGGGAGAGAAACATATATGGATCTTACAAAAGTCGAAAACTCAACTCGAATTATTAAAGCGAAAAAGTATCGACTAATAAAAAAAAAGATGTAACAAAAAACATTCGTTTCAGCTCTGCTACGCGTCACATTTTGCGCGTTACAATCGCGTTTCCATCGACATGCGTATTTATTTATTTTATTCTTTTTTTTCTTCCTTTATATACATATATATATATATATATATATATTTTTTTTTTTTTTTTTTTTTTTTTTTTTTTTTTAAATTTATTTTTCTATTTTCTTTTTTTTCTTTGTTTCCAATATAAACGAGGACGTAGAAATTAATACGTAAAAAAAACAAAAAAAAAACAAAAAAAAGGACGCAAACGACAAAAAGTAAAAAAGAAAGAAAAAAAGTAAATAGAGAAAACGAGAAATTCCGAAATTAAATCGGAATTTTTTAACGTTTCCGTCACTGTAATACCGTTTGTGTAGTACTATTCTATACACGCGTTGTTTTATATGTACATATATATATATATATATATATATATATATATATATATATATATATATATATATATATATATACATATACACACCCATACATATATATATGTGTATCTGTGTATGTGTATGTGTATGTGTATATGTACACATTAATTTGGCGTTTACAAAAAACCATTGACTAATTGTTTTCTCTCCGTTTTTTTCCACGGGGGGACGTTAACTAGCAGACAGCTACCAGTATCAGCTGCAGTCGATGTGGCAGAAATGTTGGAATACCAATCAGAGCCTAGTCCACAATCTACGCTTCCGTGAACGTGGCCCATTGAAATCTTGGAGACCGGAGACAATGGCGGAAGCGATCTTCAGTGTCCTCAAGGAAGGACTTTCATTGAGTCAAGCAGCGAGGCAAGTTTTTTCTAATTTTCTTATCATTCGTTATCTAACATTTAATTCGGTGTAAAGAAAAAAAGAAAAAAGAACACAAAAAAAGAAAACAAACAAACGAAAGAAAATAAAGGAAAACAAAAGTAAGAAAGATGATGAGTTGTTTTTATTGTTCATTTTATTTTAATATTTAATTCTAAATAAAAAGAAAGAGACATTTTTTTTAATTCAGTTTTCTAAAATCAAATATATATATATATATTGTTATTATTTTTATTATTATTATTATTATTATTATTATTATTATTATTATTATTATAAAAATTATATATAAATTATAATTATGATTAATTATTAATGTCAAAAAGTGGAAGGAGACATTTATTTTTTATTCAGATTTCTAGAATCTAGTAATTAATTTATAATATATATATATATTATTATTATTATTATTATTATTATTATTATTATTATTAAATTATATCTAAATTATAATTATAATTAATTATTAATATTATTTACGGATAACCGATGAATATATGAAAAGTTGAACGGATGTATATATATAATTTCTTGGAAAATTCTCTGGCACACTGACCTATATAATTTCTTAGAAAATTTTCTGGCACAGTGACCTATATAATTTCTTGGAATAACATTTGCTCGATGTCAAGGTAGAAAAAAACAGAAAGAAAAAAAGAAAAGAGAAAGAGAGAGAAAGAGACAGAGTGAGTGACAGAGATAGAGAGAGAGAGATAGAGAGAGAGAGAGAGAGAGAGAGAGAGAGAGAGAGTGAGAGAGAAAGAGAAAGATAAATTTATATATATTGTATATGTCCTCGAATTCGATGAACTCAAATTCTTTGTCCTTTTCTATCTCTTTCTCTTTTTCATTCTCTTTCTCCCTCTCTCTTGAGCTCGAAACTGAGAAATTCGTCGAGTAAAAAAAAAATTACTGTTTTGCCTTGGTGCTTTGTACATATTACATAAATATTACCATAACTGTATTTCTCTGTATAATACATGTGTCATTTCTTGGAATTAACTACTTCGAAGTAGGTTAGCTGAATTCATAAAAATGAATGATCGATCTGGTAACATATAACGATGTGTGTGTGTGTGTGTGTGTGTATTTCTTTCTCCTTTTTTTTTTTTTTTTAAAGAAGTAAATATTCGAATTAATGATATCTTCGAATGTGTAGTTCTTTCTGTTTAATTTAACTTTTCTTTTTTTGATTTCTTTTCTTTCTTTCTTCCTTTCCTTTTATTTTTAAACTTTATCATTCCAGCCATCGACAATTTTGCCAATTAATAAATAAAATATATTTATTTACGCAAGATTTAATAAATATTTTATAATAATATATAACTAGATATCTTGGAAAAGTTTTATTTAACGTCTTAATTTTGCACGTTTGAAAATTCATTAAAATTTGTTTTAATACGATAAATAACGTTTATTCAAACATGCTGTAATATTCTCAGAGCGATAAGAGAGTACGTTCGGAAGATAAATCTTTCAAGATAAAAATCTTTTTCAAGATTTAAAGATATTGATAAATATGACGACGAAAATTTCTTTGGAAAAATAAATATACGAATTGTGAAAGATTGTTAAAACGTTTAATAATACATTATCTTTTTCTTCGCAGAAAATACGACATCCCTTATCCGACATTCGTCCTCTATGCGAACAGAGTTCACAACATGCTAGGTCCTAGCGCTGATGGTGGGGCCGGTGAGTATTAGTTACTTCTTTTAAGTTTTTTCTCCGTGGCATTTCGTTCTCCAATTCCCACAATCATGTGATACCACCCCCCCCCCCCAAAAAAAACAAAAAAAAACAAAAAAAGAAACGAAAAATAAGAAAGCAAAGAAAAAAGAGAAATAAAAAGATATGAAATAAGAAAAGAAAAACAAAACATCCTGCAGAAATCCAATATGTCGATTATCGAAAACAATTTATTATGTATACATATATTATATACATATTTACATATATAATATTATCTAATTTATTACATTTTTTGTATACACGTACTTTATTACTATACATAATTTATTACACGAGATATATATATATATATATATATATATATATATATATATATATATATATATATATATATATATATATATGTAAATTCCGAAGAATTCATTTTCGTTTATATATATACATATATATATATATGTTTGTGTAAATTATATAATAAAGAATTACGATGAAATTACAAAAAAAAAAATAAAAAATAAAAAAAACATTAGTAAGATTAATCCAAATTATGAATGATTTCGGAACGATACACGAGAAACGAGACTGGCCACTATAATAGACGAATAAAAA